ACTGGCCATTTCTTTGGGTCGTTTGTAAAGTCACAGATACTGTACGGACAATACAGCTCAGTGTTTTATGTATCTTGCTCTATTAAATGGAAAAAGTGACTTTACGTAGGCCATACTGGATTAACACCATGCATCTCCTGTCAGCGGGAAAGCCGCGCCCCCAGCTATCACAAGACCCGACCAAGTCCATGGTTGACACCCTCTCATTAGCTTGTTGTGCAGAGGAAAAATAAATGCGGAACTACATTCAGAAATAAATGAGTGATCAAAGGAAAATAAATAGGATGAGTTTAGCACTTCCTTAAACATTTTCCATTTGCCCACCAATTTATTTTATTTATTTGCCTACTTTAATCACATGTTTAATTATTTCTATATGTATTTAAACAAGAATTTGTGTATTTATACAGACATTTATTTATTTGCATATTTATTTATTTATTTGTGTATTTATTTATTTATTGTTTTTGCAGGTTTCGTCCTCCATACTGGAGCAGAACTGAAAGAGAAAGTGGTATGCAAGCAACCAAACAAGTCAATAAATACTTTTATTTATTTATTTATTAGTAGCCTACAGCAACAGAACTGACAGAGTGGTCTGCAAGCAAGCAAACAAGTCAATAAATACTTGCATTTATTTATTTCGACACAGTAAAGCTGCTTTGACATAATCAGTATTGTATAAAGCACTATACAAATAAAGATTACTTGACTTTACTCACAATAACATTGTGACACTGACATAAAAGAGGAGGAACAAATAGAGGCTAAATAAAGTAGGTCCTTTTGTGAATATATCTGGAATCAGATCTCTTCCATTTTATAGTTTATTATCTTCATGCTCACACTCACAAAAATAGATCATCTTAACCTACATTATATATTTCATACATAAAATATTTGAATATTTAAATTACTAGTGATCGCATTGAACCAATATGTGTGTGTATATACATATTAATATTTTTAATTATGACTTTGTTTTATTTTATATATATGTATATATATATATATATATATTGAATATATATGATATGTATTATTTATTGTATATTATTTATAATATGTATTAATTTTATTATAAATACGCCATATTCTTGTTCATTTTAAGGTTTTAAAAATATAATTAAATACATTTTGATTTACAATTTTAATAATTATTGTATTTTTTTAAAATATGGCTTAATATTTTGTTTGTATTAATTAACTATACGCAATCTTTTTATTCGGTTGCTCAGTAATGCTGGTTGAACTTGTCCAAAAAATTCAGAATTATTATTCTTATTAATGAGTAGCCTTCTGATTTTGATTGACAGGCCTTGTGTTCACATGCACTGCCTGAGTGTGTACCAGCTGTCAATCACTGACTGAGAAGAGCAACAGAACGAAACACACATGATGCATGCAAATAATTGATCAAATCATGATGTTTATTTTAATAATATTGTGTTTTTGTTAATAGTGTTTTGTTTGTGTGTTTTTGCAGATGTGCAGCTTTTGTAGAGGATGTTGAAGAATCTCAATGATAAGAGATGAAATGTCTGCAGTGACAACCTGAGAATAAAGTTTCACTGGTTGAACTTAGTCTTTGTGTGTGTGTGTGTGTGTGTGAGACTGTCTGTCTATGTGTGTGTGTGTGTGTGTGTGTGTGTGTGTGTGTGTGTGTGTGTGTGTGTGTGTGTGTGTGTGTGTGTGTTTGGAGGATGGGAGGATGCCTGGATCAGCAGCTGTTGCACATCCTGGACCAGAGAGAGAATAAAAGACATCAGGATAAAAGGAAGGCAGGATTAAAAAAAGCAAATAACTGGATGGGGTGGAAAGTATAAGAAAGAGAGAGAGATGCAATTCTAAGAGAGAGACTTCTCAGTTGTTTATGTTGCACTGACTTGCAGGACAGAAGCTTCTTCAATGTAAGCATGTATTTAATTTATTTCACTGATCACCTGAATACATCATATGAATTTATTTCATTAACATTTAATCACGCAATTTAATAGTTATTCAATAATATAAATGCATATTATCAAATGACATAAATGTATATTTTATTGCATATTTATGGTAGAGACTTTACTAATTTTAACTAATACAACAATAGATGGAATTCATTTGAAAACCATTAAGAATTCTAGAAACTAAAATTACATCTATAATGTAATGTTCTGTTTATAAATTTCATATGTTAAGTAAAATCATGACTTTATCATGTTTTGTGTGTGTGTGTGTGTGTGTGTTTGGAGGATGTGGTGGTTCCTGGATCAGCAGCTGTTGCACATCCTGGACCAGAGAGAGAATAAAAGACATCAGGATAAAAGGAAGGCAGGATTAAAAAAAGCAAATAACTGGATGGGGTGGAAAGTATAAGAAAGAGAGAGAGATGCAATTCTAAGAGAGAGACTTCTCAGTTGTTTATGTTGCACTGACTTGCAGGACAGAAGCTTCTTCAATGTAAGCATGTATTTAATTTATTTCACTGATCACCTGAATACATCATATGAATTTATTTCATTAACATTTAATCACGCAATTTAATAGTTATTCAATAATATAAATGCATATTATCAAATGACATAAATGTATATTTTATTGCATATTTATGGTAGAGACTTTACTAATTTTAACTAATACAACAATAGATGGAATTCATTTGAAAACCATTAAGAATTCTAGAAACTAAAATTACATCTATAATGTAATGTTCTGTTTATAAATTTCATATGTTAAGTAAAATCATGACTTTATCATGTTTTATTGGATTTAATGAAGTGATAATGTCATATTTTGTCATTTCTTTCCGCAAGGAACGGTCTGGTTTTAGAATAGAATATTCTGATATATAAATTGAAAAATAAAACGGATTATTGAAATAAGTGTAAACTTTGAATCGCTTTGAATAACGGTGTCTGCCAAATGCATAATTTTTTTTTAAACAAAAGAGTATTTTTTTTTTAATATTAACACAAATATATACAATGTAAATTTTGTTGATAGGAATTTAATGTAACAAAAAGACAAATGTACTGTATATACGTCAAACACTCATGTTTTTACCAGAAAGCACATGATGCTGATGAAGATGATGTTGATGAAGGCAGTGTTGGCTGGATGTGTGATTGTGTGTGTGTTTCCCGCTCATGGCATGTGTTTCTCTCGTGGTGCGAGTGTCTCATCGTGTGTGAGCATGAAGCCCGGCCACATCAGCTCCTTCCCACAGCACACACACTCCGCCGTCACCATACGCACCAGCCGATCAGTGTACCTGCCACAACACACACTCACAGGTAACACACATCTGTCTATCCCTTCATCTATCTGTCTATCTATCTCTGACTAATAGTTTGTGTGTTGTTCTGCTCAGTAACGGTTCAGAGTTCCCGGGCGTTTATGGGGTTTCTGCTTCAGGCTCGCTCCGTTCTGGAGGACCGGGTGGTCGGCGGTGAGTTCATGCACCACCCTCCCAGCACACACACACTGTCCTGCCTCAGTGCAGACGACACCGTCACACACTCTGACAAGATGCTCAAGAGGAATCTGTCGTTCAGCTGGAGGGCCCCGACACAACCCAGCGGAGACCTGCGCTTTTAGTAAGAAAAACACTGGCATGGCTGCGACATTGTGACTGTAGTTCAACTAGCTTAACTAGAACAGAAGAGATGCTATATGCTTTATGCTGTACACACATTAACAGGTTGCTGTGTAAAAGCAGGACTGTGCTATTACACCATCAGTAAACCAGTCTAGACTGGCATAGAGTTCGTGTATTGTTACATGCAGACAACACATAAAAATGACAGTTTTATTCCCTTTCTCTCTGCAGCATCACACTGGTTCAGTCCTATTTTGTGTACTGGTCTCGAATCAGATCGGCAGTGGTGCATGATGGGACACGTAGTTCTCCGATCACTGACAGCGTTACAGAACAACCAACGGTGAACACGACAGGTGATTATGACCAGCACACACACACACATTATATACACAATAATAATTAATGGACCTGATTTTGACTTGGCTTTGAAAAAACCTAGCAACCAATCAGAACACCTTAGCAACCACCTAGAACACATTGTGAACTGTGTAGCAAGTTAGCAACAACACAGAATGCCTATAGCAAGCACATAGCAACATGTTAAAAACATTTGAGCATTTGACCACTCACACTGGCATTGTGAAATCACATTTCACATGAGCACATTGGCACTGTGAACTGTGTAGCAAGTTAGCAACAACACAGAATGCCTATAGCAAGCACATAGCAACATGTTAAAAACCACTCACATTGGCATTTGAGCACATTTGAGCATTTGACCACTCACACTGGCATTGTGAAATCACATTTCACATGAGCACATTGGCAACTGCATAGCAACGCCTTGGCAACCAACAATCTAGAATACCCTAGCAACCACATAGCAATGTGCTAAAACCCATTCCAAACACATTAGCCACCACAAAGCATTGCCTTGGTAACCAACTGCCTAGCAATAATCCAGGACACCCTAGCAACTGCATTGCAACATGATAAAAACCACTTAGTACACGTTAGCAAATGCACTGTAATACCTTGGCAACCACCTGGAAGTTCTAGAAAATTCTATAAACTGCCTAGCAATATTCCAGAACACCATAGCAACTGCTAGTAATGCCCTGGCAACCAACTAAAACATTCTATAAACTCCATAGCAACTATCCAGAACACCTAGCAACTGCACAGCAATTCCCCGGCAACCAACTAACATTCTATATTCTGCATAGCAACAATCCAAAACACCCTAGCAACTACGTAGCAACATGCTAAAAACTACTCGGAACCCATTAGCAACCAGTGCTGGGTAGAATACTTATAAATTGTAGTCTTTTAACGATTACAAATTATATGACAGAAATTGTAGTCAGTAATGTAATTTAGATTACTTCGGGATTACTTATGTAAATTTTTACATTTGAAATATTTTATTTGTTTACCTGCATGCCAATGTAACCATTAACCAATATCAGAGATCTGTAAACATCCAAATGTGTCATTAATTAATTTAAATATTAACTTTAAATCTCAGGGGGACTTTTTTAGAAAGGACATTTTAAATGTAAAAATAATTTGGGAGAATCTATAAATTATGAATAATTTACTGCCATTGTGTGAATAATTTGTAATCATGTAATCCATGAAAAGTAACTGTAGTCTGATTACGAGTATTTTAAAATGTAATATAATCAAATTACAAGTACTACATTTTTGGAATCTGATTACGTAATCCAGATTACATGTAATCAGTTACTACCCAGCTCTGTTAGCAACTGTGTAGCAATGCCCTGGCAACTAACTAGAATATTCTAGAAACTGCAAAGCAACAATCCCAAACACCCTAGCAACTGCATAGTAACATCCTCAAAACACTCTGAGAATATTAGCAACACTAGTATTGTGGTGGTGAGTTTTGCACATTTTAGCGCCACTTAAATTGGCTTAAATGCAAAAGAAAAGTCATATTTTGCTCACAAAATGTACAAATTTAGTTTATATTCAATGCTTTGTGTGTTTCTTTTTTTGTGCAGCCTCACTACTGGAAAGAACAGGCAAACACACATCCCTGTCTACACACACAACCACATCTACACACGCCAACACATATGCAACGTATAACACACACACCAACACACTCTCAACACACAACACACACACCAACACACTCTCAACACACAACACACACACCAACACACTCTCAACACATAACACACACAACAACACACATGCAACGTATAACACACAGTCAACACATAACACACACAACAACACACTCTCAACACATAACACACACAACACACTCTCAACACATAACACACACAACAACACACTCTCAACACACAACACACACACCAACACACGCTCAGCACACAACACACACACCAACACACACTCAACACCCAACACACACACCAACACACGCTCAACACATAACACACACACAACCTCATCTTTTAACACAAACACACCAATGCAAAATGACACTCAAACACTTCTATCCTTGTATAGGCACACATCTACACAAACTTTCCCAATCACGTCTTCCCTTCAGAGCATCCCAACCCATAACACAAACACACCAACACCTGATAACACACACAAAACTTCTGCTAACAACACACACACCATCCCAAATCTACTGTTACAGACTCACAGCGTACACACACATGCATCTATACACACTACAATGCAACAAACACACACCTACACTCATAACACACAGTTCTTCACTGCCTCCCTCCATCCCGAACCCTCCCCGGCTCCCCGTCGAGCCCTTTCTGACTTCTTCCCATCCCGGGAGCCCACAGAGGGCGCCGTCTCCCTGACCCAGCACAAAAAAGACCCTTCCGAGCTGTTCGGGGATGTTCTCAATCCCCCTAAACAGGCCAAAGACCCGTCTGGAGTCCCGGAGAGAGGCGGCGAGAGGCCGGAGCGTGTGCCTGGGCGGAGTGCATCCGAGCTGGGCTTGCTGCTGGGCCTCTCGGCCGCGCTCGGCATGGCCATCGCTGCAGGTCTCCGGTACCTGCAGAGGAAGCAGTGTCGCAAGCTCACCGCCATGTCGCTGAATGACCGTAACCATGACGACAGAGGCATCATCCATGTGCAGGAGTGCGGAGACCTGGTGCAGGTGCGCAAAATACGGCAGAACAGTTTCCTGGTGCTGCAGGCCGAGTACAATCTCATAACACCGACAGGGAACTGAACGTGGACACAAAATACTGTTTTTGAAAGAAATTACAGCTTAAAAATGTGTCTCTTCTGCTCTCCAAGCCTGCATTTATTTGGTCAAAAATACAGTAATGTTGTGAAATATTATTACAATTTAAACTCTTTTCTATTCAAAAATACTTTAAAATGTAATTCATTCCTGAAACTTTCTGGTTAGGACATGCTAACAACATGATAAAACATCCTCGCAACCACCCAGAACACCTTATTAATTGGTTTGGAATCACATATCAATGCCATAGCAGCCATCCAGAACACCCTGTCAACCACGTAGCAACCATCCACAACACCCTAAGAACTGCCTAGTAACCACCCACAACACCCTATCAACTGCCTGATATACTGTTTTTGAAAGAAATTACAGCTTAAAAATGTGTCTCTTCTGCTCTCCAAGCCTGCATTTATTTGGTCAAAAATACAGTAATGTTGTGAAATATTATTACAATTTAAACTCTTTTCTATTCAAAAATACTTTAAAATGTAATTAATTCCTGAAACTTTCTGGTTAGGACATGCTAACAACATGATAAAACATCCTCGCAACCACCCAGAACACCTTATTAATTGGTTTGGAATCACATATCAATGTAACACACCCACACAACACGCTTATGGTTCAGCACATTCACAATGAACAGAAATAACAAATAAAAGAGGAATTATACTCACAAACACCAGCAGCAGAAGAGGAGTGAACACAATCCCCTGTAGACAGGACAGAGAAATGGGACTCTTTCACATTATGACTATTTCTTTGCTTTTTTTTTTGTTTGTTTATTTGTCTCTTTTCTCCTCCCTTTTTTATGTCTCTGTTATCAGACTTACCAGAAAACTCC